CTGTTGAGTAAGTTGACCACACCGGCGATTGACTTTTCGGGTTTTCGACGTTCAGTACGCCTGTGAGAGAACATTATAGACCCAACGAAGTAGGTTAATTTAATTGTAACTGTTTTATCTTTTCGAGTTTATGTTTTAAGAGATTCTGAGTGATAATTGTGAATCTTTGACGTATTTTTCGAAATATCGTGATTCTGTCGTAGTACATTGTACGCTACTTTTGTTGTTGACAAACTGTCATTTTCTGTTTGTAGTATTCACCGCTTGGAATAAATGATTATCCCCTGAAGCACTTGTGGGTGGTTGTTTTTCGAAGTGGTTGATCACAAGTACGGGTATAAAAGCACCTAGACCCCGGAACAGTGAATATTCGTAGTCTGCATCTGCAGTGAAAATTAGTCTACACTACGGAGAGAAACCAATCCCGTGATCAGCAGTGTTGTTGAATGCACACATCCGCACTGATTATCAGGACTACAGCACGTAAGTGAAATAGAAAATATGGCAAGTAATACAAAATCTGAACCTCTAGAAGATAAGGAAGATGAGAGATTTGAATGTGATATCACACAGCGCCCTCAACGGCAGAGAACTCTCTCAGCCAAAGCTCTTACTAACAAAATTATAGAAACAGAACATTTTACATGGGCTATGGCAGCAAACAAAACAAAAGTTATCATGTATCGAAGTCACAGACCCCAGTGAAATAATTTCAGAAATTGAGTGGCTCAGTCAGCAGTATGCCTTGACATGGGAGGAGTTAGAAGCTCTGTATGAGAAAGACAAATGGGGTGATTCTCGCGATGATGCAGAATACATGAAACAAATATTTCTTCGAAACAAGCGAATCATTGACACAGAGATTAATGAAGTGAAGATGAGACAAATGAGAAAAACTGCATATCACAAAGAGCCATACGAACCCTCAGTCTCGAGCTCATCTTCCAGAAATAGCATACACACTACAAAGTCGTCAAAATATGGACAATCAGTTTCAAGCTCAAACATATCCAAGACATCGTCCAGACTTAGTGTAGCGAAAACACATGCTTTGGCGAAGGCTGAGGCATCAAAGAAAGAAGCAGAGTTTGAAAGAACTATAGCAAAAGCATTAACGGAGTTAGCAGAGCGCAAAGCAAAAATTAGAATCCTTGAGGCCGACAAAAAGGCTGCAGCTGCTCATGTAACAGCCACCGTTTTACAACAGGCTGTAGACGAAGAGAATGGACTGTTCCCTACAACCCCAGAACAGTCATCAAATGATCATGTGGAAACATTTTTGGCTAAAAATTCACACAAACATTCGAAAACAAACAATGATGGCAGTTTACAATTGCAAGAAACTCGTACTACTAACCCGCCGTCGAATGGAATATCGATTCTCCCATCCACACTACGAGCTGAACAAACTTCTGAGCGACCAGTCGACAAACAAATGACAGCACCGGAGGGACAGTTTGGAATGACAGACTGCAACACAAAGCCAGTTTCTGAAGAATACATACGAATACTGGCTCGACAACGCCTGCCAGTGCAGGAGCCTGAGATTTACGGCGGTGACCCCGTCATGTTTTGGCCTTGGAAGAGAGCGTTTGATTCCCTGGTGCAGTCGGCTTGTGTGTCAACTGCAGAGAAATTGTCCTTTCTGGGCAAGTACACCACAGGTACAACAAAAACACTGGTAGACAGGTATCGACTGAGAAATGTAGACAACGTAGAAAGAGCATACAAAGAAGCCTGGGAAGAACTGGAGTCAAGATTTGGCAACCCAGCTGTCATTTCCTCAATCATCATAAAACAGTTAAGTACATTCAGCAAAATCAAAGCTGACGACAACCAGCGACTTCTAGAACTTGCAGACTTGTGCGTAGACGCAGTTGCACACATGAAGGACCTACCTCATTTGATTATACTTGATACTCCACATGGAATGAATCCAGTAGTTGAGAAGTTGCCATCATATGTACTGAACAGATGGAGGGAGAGAGTGGCGACTTACAAGCAGATCAACAAGAAATTCCCAACATTTCAATACTTCACAGAATTTCTGACAACCGTAGCAAAAACACAGAATGATCCAGATGTCCCCCGCTTTAATAATACACAGATCAGACCAGATAAAGGTAAAGCAAGTCAACAGCACAGAACCCGGGTTTTCTCCACAAACACAAAGGATGATACCAAACAGTGTGCCTACCACGAGTCTCCTGGCCACGATCTGACTGAGTGTAAAGCGTTCATGAGAAAACCAATCGGAGAACGGCTAGAACTATGTAGAAAAAAGGGTTTGTGCTTCCGGTGCACACAAACACATCTTGCCAAAGACTGTACTGCTGAGATAATATGCACAACTTGCCAGAGTAAGAGACACATAACCTGTCTCCATTCATCACCTGCAGAAAAACTACAAACGACCAATAAAACAGATACAAATCAAGAAGTTACTACCAGGTGTACAAGGTTATCTAAGTGTTCGGCAGGACGTTCCTGCAGCAAGATAATCTTAGCAAAAGTGTACAGAAAGGGTCGGCCGACTGAATTCTTAGAAACATGTGCGGTTCTAGACGACCAGTCTAACGCTTGTATGGGAACTACTAGTCTCTTCAATTCATTGGGAATCCACGGCCCTGACCTAGAATACGAACTTTCCACTTGCAGCACAAAAGGAGAGAACAGGAAGGGACGGCAGGTGTTGACATTATCATTGAATCCTGTGATGGACAGGAACGATACCCACTCCCGGTAGTACTAGAGAACAATGACCTTCCCAGCGACAAAGGTGAAATACCAACACCTGATGTATGCAGAGCATTTGATCACCTCAAACCGATCACTAATAAGATTCCAGAAATTAGAGAAGATATAGGTATAGAACTCCTCGTTGGCAGAAATTGTCCTGATATATTAAAGGTGAGAGAGAACAGAAATGGCCCTGTTGGTGCTCCTTGGGCTCAACGCACAGATTTAGGATGGACTGTATCGGGTGAGTTATGTTTAGAAACAACTAGAGGCACAATTCGTGCTTCTGTTCATCGCACGACAGCAAGCTGCGATGTGACATCATACAACACGAACCAGTGTACCAGAGAAAGATTTCAGTGTCACAATCACATATATGCAAAAGATATAATTGTACCTAAACCAGATAGGAATACTGACATCTTTGAGGAGACAGCAAGGGATGAGAATAAATCGCTGTCAGTAGAGGACAAACAGTTCTTGGATATCATGGATAAGCATTCTCATGTCAATACTCGAGGCAATTTAGAACTTCCCCTACCCTTTAAACAGGAACCAGAACAACTGCCAAACAACTATCAGTCTGTATTTAATCGTTTCAACAACCTTCGGAACCAGTTCAGACGCAATCCAGACTTGTTGAACCAATATGTTCAGTACATGGAGAAATTAATCAAATGCGAACACGCAAGTCCAGTTCCAACAACTGAATTGAATGCAAAGAATACATGGTACTTACCACATTTCGCAGTGCAACACCCTCAGAAATCTCAGATGAGAGTGGTTTTTGACTCGAGTTCAAAGTTTAATGGTATATCACTCAACGATGTCCTGTTACAGGGACCAGATCAAATGAACAGTTTGCTTGGCGTCCTACTTAGATTCAGACGCAACCCAATAGGCATAATGGGAGATGTGGAACAGATGTTCCATAACTTCCACGTCTGCCAAGTACATAGAGACTACATGCGCTTCCTGAGGTTTCAGGATAATAACCCAACAAAACCGGTAATCCAGTACCATATGAACGTGCACATTTTTGGGAATGTGTCATCCCTGGCCATTGCCACATATGGCCTAAGAAAGATCGCTCATGAAAACAGATTGACCTACGGAGATGACGTGAGAGAAATTTATACACAAGGATTTTTACGTAGATGATGGCCTCACCTCTCAGCCTGACATCGCAACAGCAATCAGCATTATCCAACGCACGCGAGAGATGCTAGCAACGAAAAATATTAACTTTCATAAAATCGCATCAAATGACAGACGTGTCATGCATGCTATGCCCAGCGACATTCGTGCCAAAGACTTGCAGCTCTTCAATCTTAACCGAGACATGCTACCTACGCAGCGTTCACTGGGGATCCAGTGGTCCTTACAGGGGGACACATTCACTTTTAAGGTGGACCTGAAAGTGAAACCGTTTTCACGGCGGGGAGTCTTAGCGACTATGAATTCGGTATTCGATCCCTTGGGAATCCTGGCACCAGTTACGTTGGAGGGCAAACTTATTCTCAGAGAACTGCTGAAGGACGAGACAAACGTAGGTTGGGACAACCCCTTATCAGAGAAATACCTTCCCCGTTGGGATCGGTGGTGCAGTAGCCTGACAAGCGTTGAGTGTGTTCACCTGAATCGCTGTTACACCTCCCCAGACTTTGGTTTGGTTAAAAAACGTGAATGCCACGTCTTTTCTGACGCCAGCGACATAGCGATAGGTGCCGTCGCCTACTTACGCTCGATGAACCACGAAAACAAAGTAGATGTTGCATTTCTTCTCGGGAAAGCAAAATTAAATCCAACCCATGCTGTATCAGTGCCCTGTTTGGAACTCTGTGCAGTCGTATTGGCTACACAACTAGTGCAAGTGATTACAACTGAAATGCAAGATGAAATCGACACAGTGATTTATCACACAGATAGCACTATAGTATTAGGTTACCTCCGGAACAATTCTAAGCGATTTCAAGTTTATGTGGCGAACAGTGTCCAGAAAATACATAGCTGCTCCTCTCCAGTTCAGTGGCGTCATGTACCCTCAACTCAGAACCCCGCTGACCTTGCGTCCCGATCAGTTCCTGCCCACAAGCTCATTTCTACTATGTTTCCTCTGGCAACCAGACTATGCTCCAGAAAGAGAGCTATCCGATGCTGATAAATACAAATTTGAACTACGAGAAGATGATCCTGAAGTACGCAAGCAACCCGGAGCGTTCTCAATTTTGGTTAGCCAGTCAAAACTAATAAGGCAAAACGAACAGGATCCTTTGGGCTCAGAGAGATTTAGTAGGTTTTCCAAATGGAGTTCACTCAGGAGAGCCGTAGCGAGTCTTATAAACTTAGCAATAGCTAACAAGAGAGGTATGCGTGGAGAAAAGAACACACCCCATTAGGTAACCTCAGACATTTTGATTCAAGCTGAAAACGTTGTTCTGCGTACCCTTCAGAAAGATCATTTTCCAGAAGAATACAGCATATTATCTTCCTCAAATAACAGAACTTTGACGAAAAAGAGTTCACTTTACCAACTAAGTCCATTTATAGACAGAGATGGACTCATTCCTGTTGGTGGCAGAATTGGCCAAGCAAACTTCGATTTCGGTGAACGACATCCCATACTGTCTCCTAAGGACAGTCATGTATCCAGACTCATAGTAGAGCATGTTCATCAACAAGTACAGCACCAAGGACGCCAGTTTACAATGGGTGCCGTCAGATCCAAAGGGTATTGGGTGCCCGGTCTACACAACATGGTAAGAAATGTCATAAATCAATGTACAGTGTGCAAGAAATTAAGGGCAAAACCCCTGACACAAATAATGGCCGACTTGCCAACTACAGACGAGAAGCAACTCCACCATTCACCAATGTTGGCATAGATGTTTTTGGACCCTGTAACGTGGCTGTGCGGAAAACCAGGAGTGGAGTGGTAGGAGCCAAGCGATGGGGAGTCATATTTGTTTGCTTATATACCACTGCTATTCATATAGAAGTCATTGATTCTATGGACACCTCTGCCTTTATTAATGCGCTCCGTAGATTTATCGCTATAAGGGGAGCTGTGAAAAGACTGAGGTGTGACAACGGTACCAATTTCGTGGGTGCCAAAAATGAACTCCAGACTGCAATGAAAGAACTTAACCATGGTCTCATTCAAAAATTCTTGGCGGAACAGGCATGCGAGTGGATCTTCAACCCGCCTCACGCTTCTCACTTTGGCGGGATCTGGGAGCGACAGATCGGCACTGTAAGACGAATCCTGAACGCTCTGTATGTGCAGCTAGGTAAGCCACAATTCAGTCATGACCTGCTAACTACACTGATGGCTGAAGTTTCTGCCATTGTCAACAGTAGACCCATCACAACTGTACCCTCAGACAGTAAAGATCCAGTGGCGTTGACTCCAAACATGATTGTGACTATGAAAACAGGCCCAGTGCCTCCACCTCCAGGTGAGTTTAGCCAGCAAGACCTTTACAGCAGAAATCGATGGTGTCGGGTCCAGTACTTGGCCGGCCAGTTCTGAGTACGATGGAAAAGAGAGTTCCTCCAGCATCGTCAAGCTCGACGAAAGTGGAATGTGATCAAGCCCAATATCAATGAAGGAGATATTGTCTTACTTCGAGAGAAGGATCAGTCCCGAAATGACTGGCCTCTTGCACGTGTCATCAAGGCATACAAAAGTGAAGACAACCAAGTGCGTAAAGTGGATGTGATGGTTCACAGGGATGACACAACCCGAATTTATCAGAGGCCCGTTGTGGAGCTTATTCTCATTGAAAAGTGTAACAGAGACAATTTTGAGTAGTTATTATTTCATGTAAAAATGTACTTCATGACATATTTTTAGTGTTCCGCTCGTATCCCCCGTAGATAGACTACGTGTTGACGCCCTCTATGGTACTTTCGTTTTTATTGACATCTTGGAGACTATTATGGGCTGTTGAGTAAGTTGACCACACCGGCGATTGACTTTTCGGGTTTTTGACGTTCAGTACGCCTGTGAGAGAACATTATAGACCCAACGAAATAGGTTAATTTCATTGTAACTGTTTAATCTTTTCGAGTCTATGTTTTAAGAGATTCTGAGTGATAATTGTGAATCTTTGATGTATTTTTCGAAATATCGTTTCACAAGTGATTCCGTCGTAGTACATTGTACGCTACATTTGTTGTTGACAAAACTGTCATTTTCTGTTTGTAGTATTCACCGCTTGGAATAAATGATTATCCTACGAAGCACTTGTGGGTGGTTGTTTTTCGAAGTGGTTGATCACAAGTACGGGTATAAAAGCACCTAGACCCCGGAACAGTGAATATTCGAAGTCTGTATCTGCAGTGAAAATTAGTCCACACTACGGAGAGAAACCAATCCCGTGATCAGCAGTGTTGTTGAACGCACACATCCGCACTGATTATCAGGACTACAGCACGTAAGTGAAATAGAAAATATGGCAAGTAATACAAAATCTGAACCTCTAGAAGATAAGGAAGATGAGAGATTTGAATGTGATATCACACAGCGCCCTCAACGGCAGAGAACTCTCTCAGCCAAAGCTCTTACTAACAAAATTATAGAAACAGAGAACATTTTACATGGGCTATGGCAGCAAACAAAGCAAAAGTTATCATGTATCGAAGTCACAGACCCCAGTGAAATAATTTCAGAAACTGAGTGGCTCAGTCAGCAGTATGCCTTGACATGGGAGGAGTTAGAAGCTCTGTATGAGAAAGACAAATGGGGTGATTCTTGCGATGATGCAGAATACATGAAACAAATATTTCTTCGAAACAAGCGAATCATTGACACAGAGATTAATGAAGCGAAGATGAGACAAATGAGAAAAACTGCATATCACAAGGAGCCATACGAACCTTCAGTCTCGAGCTCATCTTCCAGAAATAGCATACACACTACAAAGTCGTCAAAATATGGACAATCAGTTTCAAGCTCAAACATATCCAAGACGTCGTCCAGACTTAGTGTAGCGAAAACACATGCTTTGGCGAAGGCTGAGGCATCAAAGAAAGAAGCAGAGTTTGAAAGAACTATAGCGAAAGCATTAACGGAGTTAGCGGAGCGCAAAGCAAAAATTAGAGTCCTTGAGGCCGACAAAAAGGCTGCAGCTGCTCATGCAACAGCCACCATTTTACAACAGGCTGTAGACGAAGAGAATGGACTGTTCCCTACAACCCCAGAACAGTCATCAAATGATCATGTGGAAACATTTTTGGCTAAAAATTCACACAAACATTCAAAAACAAACAATGATGGCAGTTTACAATTGCAAGAAATTCATACTACTAACCCGCCGTCGAATGGAATATTGATTCTCCCATCCACACTACGAGCTGAACAAACTTCTGAGCGACCAGTCGACAAACAAATGACAGCACCGGAGAGACAGTTTGGAATGACAAACTGCAACACAAAGCCAGTTTCTGAAGAATACATACGAATACTGGCTCGACAACGCCTGCCAGTGCAGGAGCCTGAGATTTACTGCGGTGACCCCGTCATGTTTTGGCCTTGGAAGAGAGCGTTTGATTCCCTGGTGCAGTCGGCTTGTGTGTCAACTGCAGAGAAGTTGTCCTTTCTGGGCAAGTACACCACAGGTACAACAAAAACACTGGTAGACAGGTATCGACTGAGAAACGTAGACAACGTAGAAAGAGCATACAAAGAAGCCTGGGAAGAACTGGAGTCAAGATTTGGCAACCCAGCTGTCATTTCCCCATCATCATAAAACAGTTAAGTACATTCAGCAAAATCAAAGCTGACGACAACCAGCGACTTCTCGAACTCGCAGACTTGTGCGTAGACGCAGTTGCACACATGAAGGACCTACCTCATTTGATTATACTTGATACTCCACATGGAATGAATCCAGTAGTTGAGAAGTTGCCATCATATGTACTGAACAGATGGAGGGAGAGAGTGGCGACTTACAAGCAGATCAACAAGAAATTCCCAACATTTCAATACTTCACAGAATTTCTTACAACTGTAGCAAAAACACAGAATGATCCAGATGTTCCCCGCTTTAATAATGCACAGATCAGACCAGATAAAGGTAAAGCAAGTCAACAGCACAGAACCCGGGTTTTCTCCACAAACACAAAGGATGATACCAAACAGTGTGCCTACCACGAGTCTCCTGGCCACGATCTGACTGAGTGTAAAGCGTTCATGAGAAAACCAATCGGAGAACGGCTAGAACTATGTAGAAAAAAGGGTTTGTGCTTCCGGTGCACACAAACACATCTTGCCAAAGACTGTACTGCTGAGATAATATGCACAACTTGCCAGAGTAAGAGACACATAACCTGTCTCCATTCATCACCCGCAGAAAAACCACAAACCACCAATAAAACAGATACAAATCAAGAAGTCACTACCAGGTGTACAAGGTTATCTAAGTGTTCGACAGGACGTTCCTGCAGCAAGATAATATTAGCAAAAGTGTACAGAAAAGGTCGGCCGACTGAATTCATAGAAACATATGCGGTTCTAGACGACCAGTCTAACGCTTGTATGGGAACTACTAGTCTCTTCAATTCATTGGGAATCCACGGCCCTGACCTAGAATACGAACTTTCCACTTGCAGCACAAAAGGAGAGAACAGGAAGGGACGGCGTGGTGTTGACATTATCATTGAATCCTGTGATGGACAGAAACGATACCCACTCCCGGTAGTACTAGAGAACAATGACCTTCGCAGCGACAAAGGTGAAATACCAACACCTGATGTATGCAGAGCATTTGATCACCTCAAACTGATCACTAATAAGATTCCAGAAATTAGAGAAGATATAGGTATAGAACTCCTCGTTGGCAGAAATTGTCCTGAAATATTAAAGGTGAGAGAGAACAGAAATGGCCCTGTTGGTGCTCCTTGGGCTCAACGCACAGATTTAGGATGGACTGTATCGGGTGAGTTATGTTTAGAAACAGCTAGAGGCACAATCCGTGCTTCTGTTCATCGCACGACAGCAAGCTGCGATGTGACATCATACAACACGAACCAGTGTACCAGAGAAAGATTTCAGTGTCACAATCACATATATGCAAAAGATATAATTGTACCTAAACCAGATAGGAATACTGACATCTTTGAGGAGACAGCGAGGGATGAGAATAAATCGCTGTCGGTAGAGGACAAACAGTTCTTGGATATCATGGATAAGCATTCTCATGTCAATACTCAAGGCAATTTAGAACTTCCCCGACCCTTTAAACAGGAACCAGAACAACTGCCAAACAACTATCAGTCGGTATTTAATCGTTTCAACAACCTTCGGAACCAGTTCAGACGCAATCCAGACTTGTTGAACCAATATGTTCAGTACATGGAGAAATTAATCAAACGCGAACATGCAAGTCCAGTTCTAACAACTGAATTGAATGCAAAGAATACATGGTACTTACCACATTTCGCAGTGCAACACCCTCAGAAATCTCAGATCAGAGTGGTTTTTGACTCGAGTTCAAAATTTAATGGTATATCACTCAACGATGTCCTGTTACAGGGACCAGATCAAATGAACAGTTTGCTTGGCGTCCTACTTAGATTCAGACGCAACCCAATAGGCATAATGGGAGATGTGGAACAGATGTTCCATAACTTCCACGTCTGCCAAGTACATAGAGACTACATGCGCTTCCTGTGGTTTCAGGATAATAACCCGACAAAACCGGTAATCCAGTACCGTATGAACGTGCACATTTTTGGAAATGTGTCATCCCCGGCCATTGCCACATATGGCCTAAGAAAGATCGCTCATGAAAACAGATTGACCTACGGAGATGACGTGAGTGAATTTATACACAAGGATTTTTACGTAGATGATGGCCTCACCTCTCAGCCTGACATCGCAACAGCAATCAGCATTATCCAACGCACGCGAGAGATGCTAGCAACGAGAAATATTAACTTTCATAAAATCGCATCAAACGACAGACGTGTCATGCATGCTATGCCCAGCGACATTCGCGCCAAAGACTTGCAGCTCTTCAATCTTAACCGAGACATGCTACCTACACAGCGTTCACTGGGGATCCAGTGGTCCTTACAGGGGGACACATTCACCTTTAAAGTAGACCTGAAAGTGAAACCGTTTTCACGGCGGGGAGTCTTAGCGACTGTGAATTCGGTATTCGATCCCTTGGGAATCCTGGCACCAGTTACGTTGGAGGGCAAACTTATTCTCAGAGAACTCCTGAAGGACGAGACAAACGTAGGCTGGGACAACCCCTTATCAGAGAAATACCTTCCCCGTTGGGATCGGTGGTGCAGTAGCCTAACAAGCGTCGAGCGTGTTCACCTGAATCGCTGTTACACCTCCCCAGACTTTGGTTTGGTTAAAAAACGTGAATGCCACGTCTTTTCTGACGCCAGCGACATAGCGATAGGTGCCGTCGCCTACTTACGCTCGATGAACCACGAAAACAAAGTAGATGTTGCATTTCTTCTCGGGAAAGCAAAATTAAATCCAACCCATGCCGTATCAGTGCCCCGTTTGGAACTCTGTGCAGCAGTATTGGCTACACAACTAGTGCAAGTGATTACAACTGAAATGCAAGATGAAATCGACACAGTGATTTATCACACAGATAGCACTATAGTATTAGGTTACCTCCGGAACAATTCTAAGCGATTTCAAGTTTACGTGGCGAACCGTGTCCAGAAAATACATAGCTGCTCCTCTCCAGTTCAGTGGCGTCATGTACCCTCAACTCAGAACCCCGCTGACCTTGCGTCGCGATCAGTTCCTGCCCAGAAGCTCACTTCTACTATGTGGCTACAGGGACCAAGTTTCCTTTGGCAACCAGACTATGCTCCAGAAAGAGAGCTATCCGATGCTGATCAATACAAATTTGAACTACGAGAAGATGATCCTGAAGTACGCAAGCAACCCGGAGCGTTCTCAATTTCGGTTAGCCAGTCAAAACTAATAAGACAAAACAAACAAGATCATTTGGGCTCAGAGAGATTTAGTAGGTTTTCCAAATGGAGTTCACTCAGGAGAGCCGTAGCAAATCTTATAAACTTAGCAATTGCTAACAAGAGAAATATGCGTGGAGAAAAGAACACACCCCATCAGGTAACCTCAGACATTTTGATTCAAGCTGAAAACGTTATTCTGCGTACCCTTCAGAAAGAACATTTTCCAGAAGAATACAGCATATTATCTTCCTCAAATAACAGAACTTTGACGAAAAAGAGTTCACTTTACCAACTAAGTCCATTTATAGACAGAGATGGACTCATTCGTGTTGGTGGCAGAATTGGCCAAGCAAACTTCGATTTCGGTGAACGACATCCCATACTGTCACCTAAGGACAGTCATGTATCCAGACTCATAGTAGAGCATGTTCATCAACAAGTACAGCACCAAGGACGCCAGTTTACAATGGGTGCCGTCAGATCCAAAGGGTATTGGGTGCCTGGTCTACACAACATGGTAAGAAATGTCATAAATCAATGTACAGTGTGCAAGAGATTAAGGGCAAAACCCCTGACACAAATAATGGCCGACTTGCCAACAGACAGACTAGAAGCAACTCCACCATTCACCAATGTCGGCATAGATGTTTTTGGACCTTGGAACGTGGCTGTGCGGAAAACCAGGAGTGGAGTGGTAGGAGCCAAGCGATGGGGAGTCATCTTTGTTTGCTTATATACCACCGCTATTCATATAGAAGTCATTGATTCTATGGACACCTCTGCCTTTATTAATGCGCTCCGTAGATTTATCGCTATAAGGGGAGCTGTGAAAAGACTGAGGTGTGACAACGGTACCAATTTCGTGGGTGCCAAAAATGAACTCGAGACTGCGATGAAAGAACTTAACCATGGTCACATTCAAAAATTCTTGGCGGAACAGGCATGCGAGTGGATCTTCAACCCGCCTCACGCTTCTCACTTTGGCGGGATCTGGGAGCGACAGATCGGCACTGTAAGACGAATCCTGAACGCTATGTATGTGCAGCTAGGTAAGCCACAATTCAGTCATGACCTGCTAACTACACTGATGGCTGAGGTTACTGCCATTGTCAACAGTAGACCCATCACAACTGTACCCTCAGACAGTAAAGATCCAGTTGCGTTGACTCCAAACATGATTGTGACTATGGAAACAGGCCCAGTGCCTCCACCTCCAGGTGAGTTTAGCCAGAAAGACCTTTACAGCAGAAATCGATGGCGTCGGGTACAGTATTTGGCCGACCAGTTCTGGGTACGATGGAAAAGAGAGTTCCTCCAGCATCGTCAAGCTCGACGAAAATGGAATGTGATCAATCCCAATATCAATGAAGGAGATATTGTCTTACTTCAAGAGAAGGATCAGTCCCGAAATGACTGGCCTCTTGCACGTGTCATCAAGGCATACAAAAGTGAAGACAACCAAGTGCGTAAAGTGGATGTGATGGTTCACAGGGATGGCACAACCCGAATTTATCAGAGGCCCGTTGTGGAGCTTATTCTCATTGAAAAGTGTAACAGAGACAATTTTGAGTAGTCATTATTTCATGTAAAAATATATTTCATGACATATTTTTAGGCGGGGAGTGTGCCGCTCGTATCCCCCGTAGATAGAGCTACGTGTTGACGCCCTCTATGGTACTTTCGTTTTTATTGACATCTTGGAGACTATTATGGGCTGTTGAGTAAGTTGACCACACCAGCGATTGACTTTTCGGGTTTTCGACGTTCAGTACGCCTGTGAGAGAACCTTATAGACTCAACGAAGTAGGTTAATTTCATTGTAACTGTTTTATCTTTTAGAGTCTATGTTTTAAGAGATTCTGAGTGATAATTGTGAATCTTTGATGTATTTTTCGAAATATCGTTTCACACGTGATTGCGTCGTAGTACATTGTACGCTACATTTGTTGTTGACAAACTGTCATTTTCTGTTTGTAGTATTCACCGCTTGGAATAAATGATTATCCCCTGAAGCACTTGTGGGTGGTTGTTTTTCGAAGTGGTTGATCACAAGTATGGGTATAAAAGCACCTAGACCCCGGAACAGTGAATATTCGAAGTCTGTATCTGCAGTGAAAATTAGTCTACACTACGGAGAGAAACCAATCCCGTGATCAGCAGTGTTGTTGAAAGCACACATCCGCACTGATTATCAGGACTACAGCACGTAAGTGAAATAGAAAATATGGCAAGTAATACAAAATCTGAACCTCTAGAAGATAAGGAAGATGAGAGATTTGAATGTGATATCACACAGCGCCCTCAACGGCAGAGAACTCTCTCAGCCAAAGCTCTTACTAACAAAATTATAGAAACAGAAAACATTTTACATGGGCTATGGCAGCAAACAAAACAAAAGTTATCATGTATCAAAGTCACAGACCCCAGTGAAATAATTTCAGAAATTGAGTGGCTCAGTCAGCAGTATGCCTTGACATGGGAGGAGTTAGAAGCCTTGTATGAGAAAGACAAATGGGGTGATTCTCGCGATAATGCAGAATACATGAAACAAATATTTCTTCGAAACAAGCGAATCATTGATACAGAGATTAATGAAGCGAAGATGAGACAAATGAGAAAAACTGCATATCACAAAGAGCCATACGAACCCTCAGTCTCGAGCTCATCTTCCAGAAATAGCATACACACTACAAAGTCGTCACAATATGGACAATCAGTTTCAAGCTCAAACATATCCAAGACGTCGTCCAGACTTAGTGTAGCGAAAACACATGCTTTGGCGAAGGCTGAGGCATCAAAGAAAGAAGCAGAGTTTGAAAGAACTATAGCGAAAGCATTAACGGAGTTAGCGGAGCGCAAAGCAAAAATTAGAGTCCTTGAGGCCGACAAAAAGGCTGCAGCTGCTCATGCAACAGCCACCGTTTTACAACAGGCTGTAGACGAAGAGAATGGACTGTTCCCTACAACCCCAGAACAGTCATCAAATGATCATGTGGAAACATTTTTGGCTAAAAATTCACACAAACATTCAAAACAAACAATGATGGCAGTTTACAATTGCAAGAAACTCATACTACTAACCCGCCGTCAAATGGACTATCGATTCTCCCATCCACACTACGAGCTGAACAAACTTCTGAGCGTCCAGTCGACAAACAAATGACAGCACCGGAGAGACAGTTTGGAATGACAAACTGCAACACAAAGCCAGTTTCTGAAGAATACATACGAATACTGGCTCGACAACGCCTGCCAGTGCAGGAGCCTGAGATTTACGGCGGTGACCCCGTCATGTTTTGGCCTTGGAAGAGAGCGTTTGATTCCCTGGTGCAGTCGGCTTGTGTGTCAACTGCAGAGAAGTTGTCCTTTCTGGGCAAGTACACCACAGGTACAACAAAAACACTGGTAGACAGGTTTCGACTGAGAAACGTAGACAACGTAGAAAGAGCATACAAAGAAGCCTGGGAAGAACTGGAGTCAAGATTTGGCAACCCAGCTGTCATTTCCTCAATCATCATAAAACAGTTAAGTACATTCAGCAAAATCAAAGCTGACGACAACCAGCGACTTCTCGAACTCGCAGACTTGTGCGTAGACGCAGTTGCACACATGAAGGACCTACCTCATTTGATTATACTTGATACTCCACATGGAATGAATCCAGTAGTTGAGAAGTTGCCATCATATGTACTGAACAGATGGAGGGAGAGAGTGGCGACTTACAAGCAGATCAACAAGAAATTCCCAACATTTCAATACTTCACAGAATTTCTTACAACTGTAGCAAAAACACAGAATGATCCAGATGTTCCCCGCTTTAATAATACACAGATCAGACCAGATAAAGGTAAAGCAAGTCAACAGCACAGAACCCGGGTTTTCTCCACAAACACAAAGGATGATACCAAACAGTGTGCCTACCACGAGTCTCCTAGCCACGATCTGACTGAGTGTAAAGCGTTCATGAGAAAACCAATCGGAGAACGGCTAGAACTATGTAGAAAAAAGGGTTTGTGCTTCCGGTGCACACAAACACATCTTGCCAAAGACTGTACTGCTGAGATAATATGCACAACTTGCCAGAGTAAGAGACACATAACCTGTCTCCATTCATCACCCGCAGAAAAACCACAAACCACCAATAAAACAGATACAAATCAAGAAGTCACTACCAGGTGTACAAGGTTATCTAAGTGTTCGGCAGGACGTTCCTGCAGCAAGATAATCTTAGCAAAAGTGTACAGAAAGGGTCGGCCGACTGAATTCATAGAAACATATGCGGTTCTAGACGACCAGTCTAATGCTTGTATGGGAACTACTAGTCTCTTCAATTCATTGGAATCCACGGCCCTGACCTAGAATACGAACTTTCCACTTGCAGCACAAAAGGAGAGAACAGGAAGGGACGGCGTGGTGTTGACATTATCATTGAATCCTGTGATGGACAGAAACGATACCCACTCCCGGTAGTACTAGAGAACAATGACCTTCCCAGCGACAAAGGTGAAATACCAACACCTGATGTATGCAGAGCATTTGATCACCTCAAACCGATCACTAATAAGATTCCAGAAATTAGAGAAGATATAGGTATAGAACTCCTCGTTGGCAGAAATTGTCCTGAAATATTAAAGGTGAGAGAGAACAGAAATGGCCCTGTTGGTGCTCCTTGGGCTCAACGCACAGATTTAGAATGGACTGTATCGGGTGAGTTATGTTTAGAAACAGCTAGAGGCACAATCCGTGCTTCTGTTCATCGCACGACAGCAAACTGCGATGTGACATCATACAACACGAACCAGTGTACCAGAGAAAGATTTCAGTGTCACAATCACATATATGCAAAAGATATAATTGTACCTAAACCAGATAGGAATACTGACATCTTTGAGGAGACAGCGAGGGATGAGAATAAATCGCTGTCGGTAGAGGACAAACAGTTCTTGGATATCATGGATAAGCATTCTCATGTCAATACTCAAGGCAATTTAGAACTTCCCCTAACCTTTAAACAGGAACCAGAACAACTGCCAAATAACTATCAGTCGGTATTTAATCGTTTCAACAACCTTCGGAACCAGTTCAGACGCAATCCAGACTTGTTGAACCAATATGTTCAGTACATGCAGAAATTAATCAAACGCGAACATGCAAGTCCAGTTCCAACAACTGAATTGAATGCAAAGAATACATGGTACTTACCACATTTCGCAGTGCAACACCCTCAGAAATCTCAGATCAGAGTGGTTTTTGACTCGAGTTCAAAATTTAATGGTATATCACGCAACGATGTCCTGTTACAGGGACCAGATCAATTGAACAGTTTGCTTGGCATCCTACTTAGATTCAGATGCAACCAAATAGGCATAATGGGAGATGTGGAACAGATGTTCCATAACTTCCACGTCTGCCAAGTACATAGAGACTACATGCGCTTCCTGTGGTTTCAGGATAATAACCCGACAAAACCGGTAATCCAGTACCGCATGAACGTGCACATTTTTGGAAATGTGTCATCCCCGGCCATTGCCACATATGGCCTAAGAAAGATCGCTCATGAAAACAGATTGACCTACGGAGATGACGTGAGTGAATTTATACACAAGGATTTTTACGTAGATGATGGCCTCACCTCTCAGCCTGACATCGCAACAGCAATCAGCATTATCCAACGTACGCGAGAGATGCTAGCAACGAGAAATATTAACTTTCATAAAATCGCATCAAACGACAGACGTGTCATGCATGCTATGCCCAGCGACATTCGCATCAAAGACTTGCAGCTCTTCAATCTTAACCGAGACATGCTACCTACACAGCGTTCACTGGGGATCCAGTGGTCCTTACAGGGGGACACATTCACCTTTAAAGTAGACCTGAAAGTGAAACCGTTTTCACGGCGGGGAGTCTTAGCGACTGTGAATTCGGTATTCGATCCCTTGGGAATCCTGGCACCAATTACGTTGGAGGGCAAACTTATTCTCAGAGAACTCCTGAAGGACGAGACAAACGTATGCTGGGACAACCCCTTATCAGAGAAATACCTTCCCCGTTGGGATCGGTGGTGCAGTAGCCTGACAAGCGTCGAGCGTGTTCACCTGAATCGCTGTTACACCTCCCCCGACTTTGGTTTGGTTAAAAAACGCGAATGCCACGTCTTTTCTGATGCCAGCGACATAGCGATAGGTGACGTCGCCTACTTACGCTCGATGAACCACGAAAACAAAGTAGATGTTGCATTTCTTCTCGGGAAAGCAAAATTAAATCCAACCCATGCCGTATCAGTGCCCCGTTTGGAACTCTGTGCAGCCGTATTGGCTACACAACTAGTGCAAGTGATTACAACTGAAATGCAAGATGATATCGACAAAGTGATTTATCACACAGATAGCACTATAGTATTAGGTTACCTCCAGAACAATTCTAAGCGATTTCAAGTTTACGTGGCGAACCGTGTCCAGAAAATGCATAGCTGCTCCTCTCCAGTTCAGTGGCGTCATGTACCCTCAACTCAGAACCCCGCTGACCTTGCGTCGCGATCAGTTCCTGCCCAGAAGCTCACTTCTACTATGTGGCTACAGGGACCAAGTTTCCTTTGGCAACCAGACTATGCTCCAGAAAGAGAGCTATCCGATGCTGATCAATACAAATTTGAACTACGAGAAGATGATCCTGAAGTACGCAAGCAACCCGGAGCGTTCTCAATTTCGGTTAGCCAGTCAAAACTAATAAGACAAAACAAACAAGATCATTTGGGCTCAGAGAGATTTAGTAGGTTTTCCAAATGGAGTTCACTCAGGAGAGCCGTAGCAAATCTTATAAACTTAGCAATTGCTAACAAGAGAAATGTGCATGGAGAAAAGAACACACCCCATCAGGTAACCTCAGACATTTTGATTCAAGCTGAAAACGTTATTCTGCGTACCCTTCAGAAAGAACATTTTCCAGAAGAATACAGCATATTATCTTCCTCAAATAACAGAACTTTGACAAAAAAGAGTTCACTTCACCAACTAAGTCCATTTATAGACAGAGATGGACTCATTCGTGTTGGTGGCAGAATTGGCCAAGCAAACTTCGATTTCGGTGAACGACATCCCATACTGTCACCTAAGGACAGTCATGTATCCAGACTCATATTAGAGCATGTTCATCAACAAATACAGCACCAAGGACGCCAGTTTACAATGGGTGCCGTCAGATCCAAAGGGTATTGGGTGCCTGGTCTACACAACATGGTAAGAAATGTCATAAATCAATGTACAGTGTGCAAGAGATTAAGGGCAAAACCCCTGACACAAATAATGGCCGACTTGCCAACAGACAGACTAGAAGCAACTCCACCATTCACCAATGTCGGCATAGATGTTTTTGGACCCTGGAACGTGGCTGTGCGGAAAACCAGGAGTGGAGTGGTAGGAGCCAAGCGATGGGGAGTCATATTTGTTTGCTTATATACCACCGCTATTCATATAGAAGTCATTGAATCTATGGACACCTCTGCCTTTATTAATGCGCTCCGTAGATTTATCGCTATAAGGGGAGCTGTGAAAAGACTGAGGTGTGACAACGGTACCAATTTCGTGGGTGCCAAAAATGAACTCGAGACTGCGATGAAAGAACTTAACCATGGTCACATTCAAAAATTCTTGGCGAAACAGGCATGCGAGTGGATCTTCAACCCGCCTCACGCTTCTCACTTTGGCGGGATCTGGGAGCGACAGATCGGCACTGTAAGACGAATCCTGAACGCTATGTATGTGCAGCTAGGTAGGCACATTC